TGGCATGATGAGATAGTGACTATATGAAATACATTTCCTGGAAAGGAAATGTTTCTTCTATATAAACACGCAGTAGTATACTGATGCTACAGTATCTCTGTGCAGTTTAGGTCTCGTGACCTAACAGCCGTCCGTCACACTCACTGATCACTATATGTATGTACGTCCGTCACATGCGGACGCCGACGCCCGCATTTATTTCATATGACCCTAGACTTTCAGTCAAGGGAATAATAATTGAAAAAAATTAAAAGTAAAAATAGAATTCTAATAATCAGAATTTTTGATACACATTGGACTAGGAAGAGCAAAAGTTTATTAAGTAACTTGAAATTTTTAATGTGTAACTGTCAAAGCGAGAGAAGTTCTGCTGAGTAACCTTTATGTTCGTACGTAAGATCCTGAAAGAAAGTGCGTACGAGTATAGTACTAACTTTAAATCTAGCTAATATAAAATCAAAAGCATTTATCGGATTCTATCCAAACATTGGATTCCGTTCGACAAATGCTTGAAATGGGTGTCCTATCTAGAACAGGATTATCATATATCCATCCTGAACAGATTTCAAAATATTAGTTCAACAAAAAGTAGAAGAAACCCATTTAGAACTAATTGTATGGACAGGAAAACGTTTCAGCAAATCTTTTGCCTGTTTGAAATCAAATAAAAAAAGAAAGTTGCAAATAAATTTTATTTTATGAAAATATATGCATAAAAAACCACCGGTTTTTTAAGTTATTCTATTGCCAAAAATAAGTCCAGAATAACAAAACAACGCACTTTTCCCATGTGTTTGATTAAAAAAAATTATTACAAGTCGAAAAAAACAAACAAAGGTAATAAACATATTAAAAAACACTATTACTACTGCTACGACTTCGATGTGTAGATTGATTGATTATTATCAGAATATTCATTTGTTTGTACCTTTGACTATTGTTTTCCAGGTTTCTTTTTTGATTCATTTTTTATTTGACGTAACATATCACCTAAACTTCGTCGAAATCTGACTTTGTCAATTTCTTCAATATGTTTTACTTGAACATATTCTACAAGACAATAAAAAAACACAACGTAAAATTTAATTTATACTTGTAACAAACTTGTCTAAAACCCTGAACTTTCTATTAATTGACCAAAACAGCATAAAATTTACTAAAAAAAGAATAGCATGTGCTACCTTCCAGTATTTTGACTATATTTAATTCGAAACTTTTATTTAATATCTCTGTCGATAGAGAAAAAGACCATTGAATAAAACCATATGTGACGCATATTGCAGACACATCTACTTTCTACAGTCACATAACTTGCAAAATTTCCATTTTTTATGTGAATTATTTATCTTATGCTTAGTTCAATGGAAGCCCAATTAAACACATGTTTTATCACTATTTTATCAATTCATTAAAAAGTACTTAAGCTTTTCACTAGGGAAAGTTCTTGTCTTCACCGAGAAATTCGAAGTTTACTTGTTCGTATTTTGCAGATCCTATATCGTCGTAAAACACAAACACCATGTTCCGACTACAACTCAAAGTAACTGCAGTATTAGTCACTATTTAAAACGATTTTCTTCTAAAATTTTTCAACAAACCGAGGTATTGCAGATAATTTTTTTTTCTGAATAGAATGAATTTTTATTAAATTGTAACATATCTAGCAAACTCATTGTATGTTGCCAAAAAAAAGAAAAACTCAAAAAAACTTATAAAATACTAAAGTCATCAGAGTTTCTTCACTATAAATTATAGGTCAAAAGTTTTAGAAAATTGATAATATTTGACGTAGTCCGTTCTCCTACGCCTCCGCTACCTTGAGCATAGACTTTATATGTTAGTACAACACCGCCTCCTACAATAATCAAATATCAGGTAATTTTCTGATGCTATAAATACAAAAGAGAATGTGCTTGTATAGTAAGAACGATGTAAGTATTTTAGTGCCATCAAGCTATCACGATTAATTGTTAATCCATATATATTTTGTGGAGAATTTTTCAAGGGCTATTCACTCGCATATTTATTTAATGTCACAGTTGGAAGCAACTTGAGAAAATAATGTTTCATCGATCTCGTACATATTCTTAGACAGGCGTTCACTGGCGTTCTATTGACACAAAATCAAAAGTAAATAAAATTACTCAGTTGAAATGGAACACCTTTCTACTACTTACAGAATAGTTCTGACGTAAAAAAAACTAAACCGGCCGCTTGTCGATCTGATTAGGGATGTACCAAGCCTTGAGATCTTGCAGCAAAAATCGCATATTCTTGATATTCAAAAACGATTTCGGAGTAAGCAGAGAGAACTGATTACATCTCAGATGTTTGCCGCATGCGAAGAAAGAATTCACGCTTAAACTTTCAGAGAATGTATACCTGTAGATATTATCGCTAAGATCAGTTCGTTCTTAGAGCCAATCTAATTCTGTGAATGAGGCGGAATGGCTGCAGATTATCTCACAGGGACTTCATCTACTGTTTTCTGTAATCACGAGTGGTTGACTTTTGTTTTATATGGCGGAATTGATAGAAAAATATATCTGAAACTACTTTCAGATCTAAAAATAGCGGGAATTCTGGGGTTTCTGCTAAAAAATCCTAGAAAAAGAGGAGAGGTCTTGGATTAAAGAGGATCATTCACAAGCCAGATTTTAGTCTATCACTATGTTTGATCTATATCAGTGATATAGTGTTAGGGTTCACAGTACCATAAAGATGTTTGCAGAGGACGTCATATTAATTATTACCAATACAAATCTATCAAAAATGATAAACATGTTAAACCTAGATTTAATTAATATTAAAACCTGGTTACACTAACGGTGCATCCAATAAATCTTGTTAAATGTGAAGCCATCACTTTTCCACTAAGTCCAAACATATACTTGATCCACAGTTCTCCTCTACACAGGTCAAAGAATCCTATAATAACATCCTATCAGATCCCATTAGATATACTCGGATACTGACATACGCACTTCTAGTAGGATCCTATAGGAAACACATATGTAATCTGAATATAGGAAAACCCGTAGAAATCCTACAATAGGATCCTGAAAGTTCCTATCATTTCCTATGATGAGATTTTACAGGATTTAATAGGATTCCACAAGATCTTATATGATCCTACATACGATTTGATAGGATCCTGTATTATCCTGTAGGAAGTGACAGGATCCTCTAGGAGTTTTGTCAGGCCGTATCTATCCGGCTCCTCTCGCTCACCTATTTCCTGTTCTTGATTGTAAGTTGCACGTAATGCAAACTTCAACTAAAATTTGAGAATGAGCACTCACTACTGAAATATATGTAGAAGGGTGCTCATTCTCAATGAATTTCACGAATCAATTAATAGTTAACCATCGAACTTCAAATTCACATCTAGCTAAAGAAGAGTGATAACTACATTTCGGTAAAAAAGAAACATTTTCATCTCTCTTTGGTTAGGCTTTATTAGCATTTTATGGAAAAGAAATGAAACGCTTATATCTCCCATATCATCCAATCAAAGGGGGCTAAACTTGCTGAGTAATCCGGATCCAGTAAGACGCACCACCACACAAAATTCAAAGTCTCAACAATAACCGCTCAGCTGACGTTCTAGTTCCTTGTTAAGTAATGCAAATATTGAATGTGATTATATCACGCATTTCATTGTACGTATTTAACTACTAGGTAAATATGTATACGTTTCAGCAAATATGTGGCGTCGTAAAGTTAGTTTATGATAAAAATTTCATTTTTGCAGACCTTGGTTCAAAAAAGGGAATTTCACTTACGGATCTATCGAAAGTTTGTACGATTGCGATGAAAATTTTATGGGAACCAGACAAGAGCATATCGTTTTGAAGATTCCTCCCTAAATAAAATCCTGCATGCTTCTTGCTATTTCCCACTAGGATTCTGCTGTAATTCGCTTGAGATCATAATATTTTTTCAATCACACAATTGCAGTCGATTTACGAATGGCTACAAAGGGCGTGAAAATTACCAAAACATTCCGATGAAAAAGCATTATAGACAGCCGGAAGATATCTTATTTTCCTCAGAATTCCACGCTCTATCAGGGTACGTAATTTGCAGAGTTTTATGACCAAAAACTAAGGACTTGGTTTTCTAGCGGCCAAGTTTTCCCGAAACCCTATTATCAGCTTTTCCCATGAAGCGGTGATATGCACCTCATCTGTACAGCACTGCAAAGAAATTTGAGTCTATAAATTAATTTACACTAATTTTCAATACTAAATTGATACATATTATTTTTCGTTAAATTGGTTGGCACGAATTGATTTAAATTAATTTCGATCAACAAATCCATTTCCATTGGTTTAAAGAAAAAAATAATATGCATCAATTTGTTATTGAAAATTGGTGTAAATTAATTTATAGACTCAAATTTCTTGCAGTGCTGTAAACAAAATTAATTTCTATTAATTTCTGTTCGTAAATTAATTTAAATCAATTTGGATTAATTGATTAATGCTTTTCCAAATCAATTTAAACCATTCTAAAATCACAAATTCGTTTAAATTAATTGGGCAGGAGATTAACAACGATAATATCTGCAAAAATTAATTCAGATTAATTTTAATTTGAAAATTGTTTTGAATTAATTTCATTCAGATTAGTGCAAATCGATTTATTACTAAATTGAGTTAAAGAAATTTGGAAAAACATTAGGGCGTGGCCAACCGCCATGAAACCACGATTTGTTTTGTTCATGTAACACCAACCAAATATGATAAAATGATGATTTTCTTACTACTGATAGTACATATATAGTGCTAATGATCTGTTATTATTTCACCTGTATTCTCACCACACAGGAGGCTTGTCAAGGGATGTTTTGTCATCGTTTTGTTAAACATGCTTTACACCCAGTATGTCACCCTATACTAGGTTTTCTGCGAAATTTAAATCAGTATGAATTATCAAGTGTACATGATATTACAATACTAAGAGTGTCGGGGTTATTAGAACATATAAACGACTCTGTGCAAACTATTGCCGATAAAGGATACATCGGTGAAGATTATGTGATCACTCGAAGAAGGAAGCCTCGTGGACGCAACTTAACAGCTGAAGACAAAGATTTTAATCGAGATATTAATAGCGCAAGAGCGGCTATTGAAAATATCAATCAGCATCTGAAAACCTATGCTATTCTCGGCGGCATTTACAGAGGCGCTATTGATGATTTTCGTAAAATAACTAAGATTGCGCAAGTTGTCTCAGCTCTATGTAACATGAAGTTAGACAAACATCCTATTCGCAAATAAACAATAAAATAAGTTCTATTTTTTGGTCAACTAACCTTATCCGATACTAAAACTTTGTTATTGATAATTCATACTGATTCAAATTTCGCAGAAAACCTAGTATAGGGTGACATACTGGGTGTAAAGAATATTTAACAAAACGATGACAAAACATCCCTTGACAAGCCTCCTGTGTGGTGAGAATACAGGTGAAATAATAACAGATCATTAGCACTATATATGTACTATCAGTAGTAAGAAAATCATCATTTCATCATATTTGGTTGGTGTTACAAGAACAAAACAAATCGGGGTTTCATGGCGGTTGGCCACGCCCATTAATTCAAATTAATTTGAGTTTCAAATTAGTGTAGAGTTTTCGAATTAATGTACACGAATTCGAAGCTCAAAATTCACATTAATTTAATATGAGACTTTGTGTAACGAGGGAAATTAATTTTTTCACGAAAAAATGAACTAAAATTAATTTCCTGCAGAAAGAGAATTTGGGTAATTCGTGCTGGGAGCTTACGGTGTTCCTTACCGATAAGGACAAAATCACCGAGTTCAAATGGCGCTTCTTCTTGTCACTGTTCGAATGACATGTCCCAAAAGTGTACACTAGTGAAACAGTAAGGATGAGTATCGGAAGAAGGGCGGAAAAGAGAGGAGGAAACAATAAGTGGTTCGGAAACCGATGAACGATCAAGTGGAGGAGCAGGCAAAGGTACGTAGGGATAATTATACATGGTCGACCGCAATGCAAGATGACTATCCTTTCAGGTTCGAGCCAAACGTTCCAACTGGTTTTTGGTAGCCAAGGAAGTATCATCTACTTTCAACTGTAATGCATGGACTGCATACTGAAGAAGTTCAATTTGATTCTCGATATGGTGGTTCTTACGGTCAATTTTTTCATTTTGTTCCTGCATTCGAGAATCTGTGAGTGCAGTCTGAGAGCGATGATTATCATAAACCGTTTGAAGATGGTCCTGGATGGACCTTTCGGAGGTGGATAAATTAGGAAATTTAGCCATGATAAAAACCAATGTGACTTACCAGACAATATGAAGAAAGATAGAAAGCAAAAAAAAGAAGAATTTTGCAGGAGAACGGAAGGTTCGGCAAGACGAGATCGCCAAGTGTAAGGAACCTATATTTCCACTAATTATAAGTCCTTGAGTTGATTGTATGCGTGTGTTAAGATATGTAGTATTACTCTTTTATTCGACTACGCTTTATCACAAACTACAAAAAACTAACTTCACACAAGAAAAATACTAATATATATATGTACTACTGCATGCACAAAAGATAAGAATCAAAAAAGAAAAAAGCGAGGAAAGAACAAAAACAGACAAAGAACAGAACAGAACAAAAGAGAGTAGCCCTACCGAAAGAAGTACATACAAGATAGAGAGGTTGTGACAAAGAATCGTCACACCCATAACTATGTTCTGTCATATAATTGTATTACACACCAAAGACAGAAAATACGATAGCAAAAAGGACGACAATTATACCCAAGCAAAAACGACCCAATTTTTTGGGTTATTTATCTAGATTCAGCTGCACGTACATCTAGATGCACGTGGACCTGAATCTAGATAAATAACCTAAAAAATTGGGTCGTTTTTGCTTGGGTAGTTACTCAAGCTCTACTTCGTATAAATATTTTATTAGCATATACTCATGCCTAACAGATATTGTGAATCAGCCATACAATAGTCCACCTCGAAACGTGAGAGGTTTTATCACAGTAAGTAAACCACTGAGGACCGTTAAAATACATGTCAACGACAGACAATAGAACTGCACTGGTATCGTTTTTTGGGTCATCGGTGACCTCATTGTGTGAGTGCTGTAATCCGGGATACTCGTTCCCCCTGCAATGATTATGGATGCCCCGTTACATGAAAACTGCGAAAATACATGGAAATCTTAATCTGACTTTAAGGTTATTTGAAATTATAACTATATAAAAAGGATGGATATTAGAAACAACTTGTAATAGAGGCGTAATCTTTCTGTGTGCGCATTGTACATAAATGAGATTATAGTTATTGCTGGTTGTTCTCCATGTATGAAAAACATTCGTCATTCTCATCTCCTCACTGTATTTCACCTTTTATACTTTAAGTGCATAAATTATACAGAGGAAGTTGAAAGTAGAATCGAGATTCTTGACATTATTCATTTTATTTTATTTAGTTTTCTTCTGGGCAAAATCTTAGAAAAAAACAGAATATTAAAACTCTAATATAAACTTCGGTGATATTAAATTGAGCAAAGTTATCAGCGTATGAAGACGCACTGCGCTTCCACGTCTCCCCAGCAACGGTCATAGAATTGCCTTTCCACTTCTGATGCACGTTCACAAGACACCGATGCATTTTGAAAGTAATTAGAACAAATAAGTACTGTGACAACATATATATTTTTGGCCGAACGAATGGTTCGTTGTTTCTAAAGTTGAAAACTAGAGTATCCATTCTACGGAATGCCATATTTAACAAAATTGAGCAAACTTACTACCACAATATGTTTAAACTACATAACAATAATTAAGATCTCCGACCTTCCTTATGTTAACGAGTTGATTCAGGACTTCTTTTTTCGTTTCAAATAGATTTTTAATGGGTAGATTGCAGTCACAAATAACCAAATATATCTGCGCTTATACAGAGTGTCATTGCTTATGTTACATACAGATAAGTACCCAAAAAGGAATAATATTCATTTGCGGCTAAATTAAAGTATTTATGCCATAACTAAACCTGTTTGAAACGAGATAAGAAGTCGGGAAGCAACGAGTTGACAAAAGGTAGGTATGAGATCTCATTATATATATGCAGTTTTAAACATATTGTGGTAGTAATATCATATCATATTTAATATCATTAAATATGCGCATTACAGAAGAACAATTTGTGAAAAATTTTTGTACATGTGGGCTGTACTCCAGAGCTCTGCAGGTTGCCAATATTTGGCAACCTATAACCTAACCTATAAAAAATTTCACAACCTAATCCTAACCTAACCATTGAAAAAAAAATAGAACAACCTATAACCTAACCTAGCCTATAGCTTTTGCAACCTAATCCTAATCTAACCTATAGGTTAGGTTAGGTTAGGTTAGGTTAGGATCAACCTGCAGGGCTCTGCTGTACTCTTCTGAGGTGATTAAAGTTCAGTAACCTATATATGACTGTATTCAAATCTCAAAAACGCGCACCTACGATTTTGAACCAAACTTTCGCCTATATGCCCACTGTGCACTTGATGCAAGTTTTTGTAGCACCTAAATATACTCTATTTTACGAAAATAGCCCCAAATGTGTTATGGTGCCAGTAAGTCAAAACTTAAGCAAAATTTATTTTTGCGCTATTTATACATGGTTGGATAGAGCTCGTCGAGCAGAACAAGAATATGTATATCTTAATCTATCGAATCAAATTTTAATGTCGAAATTTTAATTTAATTTTAAAAAGCGGCTTATCTTTTAAAAGAGAACGTAAAACTCGAATACAACGTGTTTGGCAACATTGAAAGCTTTTTATATCATTCTACTCGCCATAATAGCACGAAAAAAGTTACGTAACGCTTTTGAAAAATATTGTTCCGTTGTTGAGAAAATAAATGCTTTGAAACAGGTAGCAAAAACCAAGGAAATTCGCTTGTGTTTTGCAGTTTTCGCCCAACTTCCATGTTTTTTTCAAAACTAATGTCATATTTAGAATTAGCATCAAAAGCTGACTCGATTGATGTGTGTCTCAGAATTTTTAGACAACTTTCACTTTTTGGTAATTCAGCTTTTGATGACTTACCAAATATGACAACAGTTTTAGAAAAATGCCAGCTATCTGATGCTAAAAAAGAGTTTTGCTTTATCTTAGAAAGTGTGGATAAAAAAGCCATAGTTTTTCCCGGAAAATTCCTTTTCCTCGATACGTTACCAGTGCAATCGACTTTCTAAATTTTCTAAGCGCTGACAATCTTCAAATTTACATCAAACGTTCATCTCGGTGTCTTGCACCTATAGCGCACGCAGTTTTTTGACTAGACGGAGATATAGGTTTTCCAAAAAGCCCTGGTTTTTAAGATAAACTTGAGTTTTCTTATACCAAAAACAGTTTTATCAAGACAAATTATACATATTCGGAAGAGCGTGAAAAACTACATTAAGTAATGCATCACTTATTAGTTTTACAAATAGACAGAAATTCAGAGCAAGGGATCTCCTCATAGATTTTTTATCGATGAGAATTTTTTTTCGAATTTGATTTGTCTTACTTCTATTAAAATTTGACACATAATAAGACAATATTATGCGAAAATAATCATTTTTTAACTCATAAAACCAGATGTCCGCCTGCTCTATGGAAAAATACCCACTGTGCTGTGCCCTGACTTGAACTCGTACAAGTTCTAACTATGATACGAAAAGAAAAAAGGTTTCAGTATGTGTCTAGTGTCAGATTTTCTGAAACTCTTTGGGTAGAATTTATACTTGTGTGGTGTGGCAAATGTCAATATCGCATCAAAACAACCGTTTCAGATTCATAACTCAAAAAGATGCTGGAGAATTTATTACTTCGAACGGCAATCGGGTTATTAATTTTTATACACGTCAATGCTCAAAATCAACTAGTCGAAGTAGCTAGATCGCCGGAATATCAATGGAACGGTGTGGCTTTAACGAAGAATGGAAGAATGTTCGCAGGATTTCCGCGATCGGTTAGTGACGCGACGATTTCTGTCGCTGAAATTCTGCCAACGAACGTTATAAAAGCTTTACCTGGGGGAGACTGGAATACTTTTAATCCGATAAATTCGACGGAAAATGTTGAGAATCGTTTCGTTAACGTTAACGCAATTCTGACCGACGTGAACGACAATTTGTGGGTTGTTGATGCAGGAATAATCGGTAATAGAACAATTCGAAACTCCGCGAAACTCATAAAAATCAATCTTCAAAATAATATGGTCGAACGCATTTATTCGGTTTCGAGTCTCAATCCTCCAGAAGGTTTTGCTTTAAATGATGTCGAATTGCCTCACAGTACGCTTTTTTAACCGAATCGGGAATCGGTTCAATTGTTATAATTAATTTGCAGAGCGGCAGAGTACGCCGAGTTTTGGACAAACATCCGTCTACAAAGTTCGATGCGCCGACCGTTGTCCGAGTCGAAGGACGCAAGGTTTTAGACGAAAACGGCGAGCCGAAAAAGATGCCGAATAATAACCTGGAGCTCACACCTGATGAAAAAACGTTGTTGTATAAACCATCGTTCAGTTACAATTGGTGGAGAATATCAGTTGCAGATTTGACGAATGAAAGTCTGACCGAAACACAACTTGGCGATCGTGTCATAAAAGGAAGCGAAACAATGCCGACAGGCGGCACGACAATGGACAATGAGGGGAACATATATCTGATGGATCTGGAGCGTTGCGCTGTGTGGCGACAAAAACCGGATGGCTCTTTGAGTTTGATTGTACGCGACGAGCGCATCATTTGGGGGTGATGCCTCAGATGTAAGTGCAGACGGATTTTTATACATTCCAATGTCACAAAACAATCGCCTTCCGGATTTCAACAATGGTGTTAATCAAGTCGAAAAGCCGTATCGGATTTACAGAATAAAAATCAACCCTGCTCTTCGCACGAAGAGTGTTTCAGTTCTCGTATTAATACTAATTTTTATGAAATTTTTTATCGGATGACGTTCTTTTGCGAAAATATTCAGATCGGCTACAGCACCTTCTTAATAGATTCTTCTAAGAAACTTTTTATTATGCCACACGAGTGATCCGAAACACTAAGACATAAGCAGCTAGCGTATGTGTGCTGAGTGATTTAGCTTTCTGTTTGAATGTTCTTTAATGTTATTCCCTGTGACTACGTGCGTTTCTTTCTTACGTAGTATTTATACTAGCAATTTTCGCTTGTTGAACAATCAGAATGATGTCATAGGTCTATTCTCTTTCTTTTTACTGTTCTATATTTGCTCGATGGAAGTTCTTTTGTTTTTCTTCTTTTAAAAATAAAGCTTAAACAAAGTAACTTATTTAAGGCCAAATAACTTATCTTAAGGTTCAACGCATAGGTTTCAATACACTACCTTTAAAGTATGGGAAGCACAATACGTTCACCAAGCTATACCATCCTCTTATATACATTCGAGCAGTGAAAAGAAAACGATGAATGGATCCGCGAAAAGGAATACTGAGAGGTTAAATAAAGCTGTTACACATTTCTTAAACGTTATAAAAGCCACATCAAAGCACAGGCTTCTAGTGGAACGGAAAAGACAGGATTCAAGACTAGGGCTTCAGCCGTTCACGTTGATCTGGCAAAAATTTCAACGGGAACGGCAACGGTTTTGCCGTTGACGTTCTGAATTGTTAACGGCATCTCATCGCGGTAGAAGTTCTACACTCTAAACTACACCTCATCATTTGGTGTTCTGAACTATCAACATAACATATTATGTCGTTAGATATCGTTATATTAGAGTTTAGTATAAGTAGAGAGGCTCACTACTAAAATAGCTTCTCAGGAGGAAATATAATTGAAGAAAAGAGGCAAAAAACGTAAAAAAGAAGTTAAAGTTCTTAAACATTTTTCTGACAGACAAGAGATCTTCACTCATATCAATCTTTCTCAGAAAAAATGAAGATATCACTCATGTCTACCACGCACAAGAATTCTTATTCCAGATAAATGATGGAGAGCTGAAAAACAGTCTTAGGAAAATCACAAAATAAGTTTGACTCTGTTAAATGCGTTTTACTTAAAAACTGTTTGAGAGTTAAATAATTTGTGGATACCTTACTAATCGAGAAAAGAAAAGTGGTATATAGGAAACCTTGTTTTCATCACGTTTTGGACGAACTAGAGTCAATTTACTGATGGAGTGCTATCAGTACAAATCATAATCAATGGTTGATCACTATCACCTCAGTGTCAGTCGAAGAAGTCTGTGAAAAATATTTCTTATGTGCAGTTTTATAGCTTTTCATGGGCTACAAGCTCATATAGTTAACATCTCCAAACGTCTCATGTTAACATAGACAAACGCGATTTTTCATCGCCTTGGCATCATCTTTTACGAACAGTCGATGACGATGGGTCTCAATGTATTGAGGTGTGTCAATCGCAGAAGATGTGACCATGCGCCAAAGCTTGTCATTAGTTGCGCAGGAGATAGAGCTACAAAACGCACTATTTGGAAGTTCTTGAACAGGGAGCCCTGGTACCCAAAATTGACTTGCACTGAAAACTAGTGATCAATTTTTAGACCTATTTTCCTCTTTTAATTCCGTAAAAATTCATGTTTTTGATCCAATCATACTCCTTCTTCAAATCTAAGACTGCATTCGTGATCAACAGGCAAAGCTGCGCCACATGAGCTATATTCAAAGATTCCAGTGTGTAATCAACCTTCCTGTACTCGTCGTACGTCAAGTTCTAGTAATGGCTCTCTTCTCTTGAAATTTTGCAAACCTATCCAGTTTCTTGTGTAGCCGATCTTTTTATTTCATTAGAAGCGCCACTAAACGAGCTTTACTAGTACGACTCGCTTTTTCTTTTATTTTGCTTTATTACTAAGAAAATACAGCTTGTCTGAATCAGGAGCGAAAACATCGACAGTCTGCCAGAAATTCTCTATTTTTTCAATCAGAACCCACTTTTTATGCAATTAAAATATCGTATTCGGAGTCAGCGTCGAAAACTGAGTCGAACGATATATGTCTCAAAAGTTTTCGTTGATTTTCATTTTTTGGTGAAAATCTCAGCATTTTATTGGACATGAATTCTCGATTCAGGTGTGGTCACCAAATCCGACAGGATCCTTTAACAGAAAAAAGGAAAATTTGTCTTTTTCGTCGTGATACAGGAAAGGTTTAGAAAAAAACATTTTAGTCCTTCATATTCTGTGAAACAAAAACTGGAAGATAGTCTCAAACAGGAGTTTAGCCGTGGTGGGTTTCGTTCTCAGCTGTCAACGGAAATTCATCAGGTGACGTTCTGAACTGCCAACCTTATTTCATCAGTCGAATTCTTTAACTTCTTTTTTACGTTTTTTACCCCTTTTTTTCAATTATATTTCCTCCTGAGAAGCTATTTAAGATGATTAGTAGTGAGTCCCTCTACTTATAACTCGACCAAAATCAAACATTTTCAGGTCGGGATTGATTTACATTAAGTTAAAATAATTCATCTGCTATATTCGTACAAAGAAAGTTCAATACTTCTCTCCGCTTTTCTGTATCAGGGCGAAAAAGGCAAAGTTAGAGATAGCACGTTCGCTCCCGCGGGATTCTAGTCATATGTCTATTTCCACTAAAGACGATCCTGATAGTATTATTAAAGGTTTACAAATGGAGATTTTGCCTTTACGTTTACAGCTTGAACCACCTTCTTTTTAAGCTTACAAGTCTGACGATGAAGCAATAACACTATATACAGGATTCACTCCGTATGGTTTGGTGGCGGCAGCAGTAATGGAACCTACGAATGGCGTCACTGACGGTGAAAATAGATTTAGTTAAGATAATTTTTCTTTTTATAAATAGATTTAGATAGATAATTTTTCGAGATAATACATTACGAGCACGCAAATTAAATGAATCACAACAATTTCTTTTGATGATGAAGAAACTAAAACTTGATGTTCCATTCCTTGATCTAACAAAACATTTGGTGTGAGTGAAAATACGCAATTGCGTTATTTTGATAAATGATAACTATATGTATTGGAAGTTTTCAAAATTCCCATGTATGTCGATAAAGAAACGATGAAGAAAAATTTTCATGCGTCGTTTACCGATATTAGAAATCCGGTTATGATTATCGATACCTATCCTATTTATATACAAAAATCAGGTAATTTGAATTTACGACGTCAAACGTATAATACTTATTACGCTAGGAATGTCCTTGAAGGAATCGTAGGTATTGCTCCAACACGTGATCTTCCTGTCACGTTTATATCCTAATTATCTACTGGTTCAATATCAGACAAAAAAACAAAAAAAAAAAAGAATTAACATTAAGATCTGGTATAGATACATTACCGTATCCAAGTATTCTACTATTTTAGCCGATAAATGTTTTTAAATAACTGAATTGGTTCAACAAAAAAAACGGGAATATCCTAATACCAGAATTTCTTGGTCAGTCTGGTCAATATCAACCTAATACGATAGTTCATAATATGAAAATTACATCTGCCCGGATTTATATTGAACATGCAATCGCCCGATTGCACAGATTTAAGATAGTTGAACACACTGTATCGCACCATTTATTCACTTATATAAATCAAATAGTTTTTGTGTGGTTTTTATTTGATAAACGTTTTTTCAAGCAACAATGAAAAATAAAAAAACTAACAGCGAAAACCACATTACTCGTCGCCAATTGGATTATCACTTATTTCAGATTCTTTGGATGTCCTACAGCAGGATCGTAATACAAGGATGCTATGGCCTGCGTTTCATAAAGCTTTTGTAGACGTGGAACTGAAAATTTTGCCCATTCTTCGTCTGTAAATATTCGTTTAATAGATAAGGCATTAAACGTGAATGCTACAAAATGGTATCACTTACATCCAGCGAGAAAAAGCTGTAATTGAATTTGACGAAAATATTTATATGTTCTTTTCAACTGTACAATCATTCACCATTTCACAAAAACGAGACGCCTTTGTACATACTTGTTTACGTGTTAAGAGTCACTGCACAAGTGAAGCGACGTAAGTTGTTCAATCGATGTTTGGGTTTTTCGCTTAAACTTTCATAATCGTTAGCACTAATATAATTAGGAAAATTTCCAAATTTTTTTCATTCAAACTTACTTCGTTAAAAAGTTATAGAGCTTTTCGTAAAAGCTAAAACGATAGTCTAAATGATAGTTGTATAAAAGTCAAATTTGTGATATTTACATCTTGGTCTAGGAAGTTGATTAAGGACATGACTTGACCATGCAAAAGATGGTTTATATGAGATGAAACTTGACGAGAGAATTCAGAATGCGAACGAGTTGAAAAAAAGTAGGCGAGGCTGATTCAGAAGAAGCAGCTCTCAAACCGATTGTAAATAAGAAGTATCAAGAAGATGTTGAAGCGAAAATGCATCTTCAGCAATATATTCAAGAATGGAAGTGGCAAATGCAGATCGTAATCAACAGTACGGCCAGTCCACGTAAAAGTTCACAAGTCTGGGACGTTTTGTGAGATAGACAGCTCTTTAGCCGAGCAACGTACAGGATCGGGGAATTTCTTATTTTGTAGCTTAAAGATTTTTCTTTCAGATGGTAATTAATCAACGTCTACCAGTCGATTCGTTTAAGTAGCTTAATGTTTTTACGTACAACAACATACAAAATGGCTTTATTGGCCCGGGTTAGGAGTAGGTCCTTAGGGTAGAGCTAGACTTTGCTTAATTCCCATTTAAAAGACAAATCTTTAAGCTACAAAATAAGGGATTCTCCAACTGTGTACGTTGCTCGGCTGAAGAGCTATGACTTTCACAAAACGTAACGGACTTACGTTTTTAGGCTGATACGTGTGGACTGGCCGAACAAATGGGAGATTCGACAACCGTAGATTCTAAGCAAGCATTGGCAGAAGCTCTGAATCACCAAAACGAAACTAAAGAGTTTTAACAGCTCCTACTCAAGCAAGTTTGAAAAGATTTGAAGTCAACATAAATGTCAGACGAAGATGAATTGACATTGGTAGAGTTGAAGTCCAAGCGTGAAATATCAAAAAAATAACAAGAACACCAGAACAGTTAGGTTTCCTAATACAATCTGTTAGAGATAAACAATTTTTACAGGACATTTTTAAAATGAGAACCGTTTACAATGAGCTCGTTGATGTAAGTGAAGTATGTTATGGACTTTAGTCCACTAAATATAAGATTCTTTACAAAATCAGAGAAAAAAACCAACGATATGACATCATGTTATTGTTGGTTTTTTCTCTGACTTTTTGATGGAACACATTATCGCAAAGAATTCAGAGCGCGAAAGCTACTATACACGAGTGTGAGCTGGAGTCTCTGTGGACATGACTTGATCATGCAAGAAATGGTTTATATGTGATGAAACTTGGGGAAAGAATTCAAAATGTGAGAAACCAGTTGAAAAAAGTAGGCGAACGCTAAAAAGAAAAACATTAAATGACTAATCAATTAAAATCAATTAAATATTTTTCTATCTTATTTAAATGTTTTTCTACTTGAACTAATAAATATTTTTCATGTTACAAGACAGGAAAATATTTAATTATTCTAAAACAAAGGAAAAATATTTAAATAAAGAAAAATATTGAACGGACTAATATTTAAATAAGATGGAAAAATATTTAACTGGTCTTTAATATTAGTCGTTTAATATTTTTCTTTCTAACATTAATCTATAGACTTCATGAAACGTCTAAACTTTTACATTTTCTTATCACGATTTTAAATCAAGATCTATCGGAAAAATTCAAGAAGCGAAGATCCTAGTTCCAAGAAATTTCACTAGGGATGTATTTATACCATAAGTACTCAACGACTAGAGCTAAGCCATTATCGATGTAGAATTTGGGATCCTTCCAGCAAGATTGAAAAAGCTTTGCAGAAAACTTTCTCGTACTTGAAAGGTAAAATATATGTGAAAACAGCATTGTATTTATAATTTTTCTTGTAACAATTAGATTTCAAATGAACAGAATCTCAAACGTTTGAGTTTTGAGATCGATATATGGAGCCTTCCCACATGTCAGAATAAAAGCACTGATATTGTCTCTTTTTCTATGTAAATTAGTCTATGTAAATATTTCTCAACTTCGATTCCGTTTTGAAGCTGTAAATATGATTGGAATCGGTTGTGTTGACATTTTACAACGGTCCATTGCTTGTACTATCCATTCCATATCCGTTATAAGCTATAGAAAACAAAGTGTGTTTACCAACTTCGACTATAGAGTGCATATGAACACATTTACTTTATTTGTTTGTTCCTCTAGTTTATTAATTGTTTCATGCATTTGTTTTTTTGATTCCATTTTACAGTTGTCAATTTCTGTCTTTTGTTTATCTTTATCATCGTCCAATTCAATTGTTTCTCTAAAAAAATATTTCACTGTCGTTGGTATGTTGAAAGCAGCAGCAGTAGAGTACATGATGGTTAACACAGATGCTATAGAGGTTAAAAACCGATGGAACGGCTAAAAGCCGCATTCTAATTAGTTTTACTCATTATCATACTTAAAAAGTGAAATAAAAAGACTTAAATTTAAATAATTAAAAATTAAAATGAAAAAAACGCAGACTTTTCTAGAAAATCCGAATCGCGTAGTACTTTAACCTCACCAAACTTCTACGTTTTTTCAGTGATCAGCTGAGAAATATTCCATTCCTAGCCAGTTTTTTAAAACTTATTTACTTACTCTGCTCAGGTGAGTAAAATAGCACGTCTTTCTAGAAATCCTACTTCCAGTGATACTGGAGAACAATTTCCGTTAAACAAAAGAAAGAGCATGTTTTGAAACCTTAACCGCCCAGTTTGAGAAAATTTGGACCAACAGTTGCAGAGATGGATTCTTCATGAAACACACGTATTTATACATCAGTGCTTATTCCGGTAGGTCGAACGTACTTTTCTAAAACTTGTCTAGCATAATTATATGTGCAGGCATTTTCAAAATCATTCCATTTTTTATCTTTGATTTCATTTTTCATGATTTCTAAAAATAAAAGTCATTGTTATTTTGTTCATATGTAGTATGAGATAAGTTTTACTAAATATTTTTGTTATCATATAATGATGTTTGTGACTATCACAACAGCAATAGAGGCGACAACATTTTAAATAACATAATCATTTAATAAACAAATAAATAAATGATAGAATTGTGGAATGGAAGATAAGAAAAATAGGTTATTCAACATATTCACGGGTGAATCCATAACGTTGATTACGCCATATAAATTCTGTATCATCTTGAACTTTATTTATCGTTAAACTAAATGAAAGAGAAATACTATCTTTTCACGTTTCACACATCTCACGTTAACGAAGAGGAAAACAGTACTCATTTTTGAAACATCACATCGCATTGAAACGTATTCGATGTTCTCTAATGCATAATAGAAAACCGTTTGTATAAAATCTTCTGTGGAAGCATAGACAAGCGAACATACGTAAAAACAGCAATTAACAAATTCAATATAAGAATATTGACAAATAACATTTGAAATGTAAGTAAAATATGACTCGCAGTTGCTTTAGCCACATAATCTCCACTTGTACTATTATTTATTATACCTTAAAACAACATACACATAGTGATAAAAGATAATTCAATAAAAAACAATGTACCATCTATTTGTTTTGTTTTATCATCAACAATTGAATATAGAAACCAATAGGGTCGATAAAATATTTGACGAAATATTCCACGACCAATAAAATCAACGTCTCTGTACAAAATTAATGATCTGGATACAAAGCCATAAGCAGCAATACAAACAAACATAACATAGATAAAACCAGATAGATCACTAACCTTTGAAAAACAGAAATTACTTTGCATGAATATATTCATGTACATTATCAATATACAAACCATATTTCTTATCATAAATAACTTTGGTCCCAATAATTTAACAGCACTTATAAATTTAAATGACATTAAATACCATAATTTCAAATCAAATACTAAAATAATCTTTAAAACAGAATATCCTTTTAGTAAGAAGCACCCATGCAGATGAAAAAAGTCGTTCGAGAGGTGCGGTGAGTACTCGAAAATAGATCCTCATCGAGAGCTCGAACCTCAAAATTACACCTCGGATCCTTGATATAAGCTTTCAAGGGGTATCAGTTTCGCTCCCTATGATTTCAGAGAGATAGCGAGCCCTCGAAAAAAACTTCGAACTGTTGAACAGAGATGTTCGGGACTTCCCAATCCTCGCTTCCCCGAGTGTGTGACGAGAACTCAAAGTCCCGAACATCTCTGTTCGACGGCTGGAAATTATTCTCGAGGGCTCACTACCTATCTGAAATCCGATGGCCCGAAATCGATATTCTCGAAAGCTTATATCGAGGATCCGATGTGTCATTTTCCGAGGGTTCAAGCCATCAGCGATGGCCCATCAAAAGTATATTTTCGAGCACTCGAAGTACCCCTTGAACAACTGATTGGGCAAATCATCTTGATTCGTATACTTACGTTTTACCTTGCTGCTGTTAAACATTCCGATTTCGTTCCAAATGCGTATCATAGTAGAATACCAAAACAGAATAGAAGATAAGGAAAAATATAAAATAAATGGATCAACACCGATACAATCCATGAACTATGTTTGTACCGTTGTTCTAACATTTGTGTATAATATTCAAAACATAACTGAAACATAGTAGTCCTTCTTCATTCAAAAACATCAACTTTATATGTTAACGTACTCGTCGAGTATCTTCAGCTAACATTGTGGATACTGTTACAATAACATAAATTTCAGTCCAATGTAAGTAGGATTTTCATCTGGCGGATCAAATTCATATAACATCATATAGCTGAATACGAGAAGGAGCGAAATGTAGAACAACTAAAATACAACAACTTAAAAATGACTATCAAGTACTGAAAGACATGTACAAATGTTCACCAATGATACATTGATGAAAGTCTTTAAATTTATTCCAATGTGTTTTCCATGTATAGCACGAAGGTGTTGAAGAATAATCTGTATAATAATTGATACCGTTTTGACACATCGGTCTAGGTTAGACAAAAAACAGAAAAGTACAATGACTTTTAGCGCAGATATATGATAGACGAGTTTACGTTTCAGTTGAAAGCAAGTTACTGATATCATTGTACTGATATCGTCATTCTATAAATAAAAATATTTGACTCATGTCTGTAAGAGTAAACATACCCATGTATTTAACCTATGACAAAGTTTCTATCGTATAGAAGCAGTAACTAGGTACTGCGTTCAAAAAATTCTCAGACTGACTTTATTTTACAAAAAATGAAAAGCGTTGTAATGCAGGATTTGTTGCCACTTTATAATTCATACAGTTCTTAATCTATAGACATTACGAGTTCTGGCTGATTTTTTAGACGTTTGTGTGTTATAATAATAATTTCTTTTACATCACATTGTAACCGTGGTTTAGATTAAATAGCACGCTCACTATTTTGTACATAACTTTTTTTTTCTTTCACTCACAAGAGCCAGTCTTTTTTGCAAAAAATGTATCTTGAAATCCTCGATAAAAAACACACATTGAATGTTTTGCTACAAAATGTAAAAGTGGAATGCTCTACAAATAATAGTGAGAAGCTCTAAAATGTCAAATCTGTGACGCATCCTTCAAAGAATTCTAGTTAACTTTTAAAGCACCTTAGCAGATAGCAAAACGATTCAAAATAAGTTTTCTGATCTATTAAGTGTGCTTCTCACAGTATATGATAGATAGATTTCGTCCAAACTTAATTTAACGATCCAAAGGGCACTTTGTCAAAATTCAATGGAAAATAAGAATAATTTGACCTTTTCGCTCGACTGGTTGGAAGAAAGAAAGTCATTGAACTTTTTGCGTTTGGATATAGTAAGCATATCACTTTGTTCTAAAATAAACAAGTCCTAACTCAAAATGTTTAATTATGAAAGAGGTATGATGATTTTACACAATGGTGCGAAACTACTGTCTGAAATGATGATTTTTTGGCATAAAGAATAAAACTGAAAAAATTCTCATGCAGTTAGTTGTAAGCAAGGAACTTCTAATCATATGTAAAAGAAGGGGTTTTGGAAATTTCGTTTATAACATTTCATTTTGAGTTTTGGAATATTTGTGTGGAACAAGTATTAGCTGTTCTTTTAAAAACTATTCTAGAAAGGAAGTTTCTGTGAGACGTGCATGTATACTATAAATTACCTTTCTACGAAATTTCCGCGATTCGCATTTCTCGTTCTCTTTCTCTCTCTTCTGCAGACTCTTGTTGCTTTAATTTCAACGCTTCAACGTCCGCTACATCGCTCAAAATTTCCAGTATCATAATCCGACTGTCTTTTGCTGTAACATAGGCTGTGGACAACTGTTTGTCTGACTAGAGGTATTTGGTACATTCGAAAAACTGTGAAAACTCATCAATCTCTTTGCTTATTAACCCTTTGGTTCCCGGCGACATATAAATGCGTCTAGTTGCAATTATTGCATCATCATAATAGCTAGAATAAATTTGAAAAAAGATTTGAATAGCTGGAAGAATTTTCGATCTCAGGTGGTCTATACAAAGGCTCCATCAAAACTCCTGAAATCAGGGTCTCTGGAAAACTCAAATCTCAGAAATCAAGTCCTAGAGTTCAATCCAGAAATTCTTTGCAAATAAGTCCATCGTGTAGAGCAAACATTTCTGAAGAAATTGAGGCGTCTCCGAGCTGTTTGCGACATTTTCTCATGGAACAAGAATCAATTTACAAAAGGCCCTAAGGGGGTATCTTCTTGTTTTTCCGTTAGTTTTGCTGCTATGGGGCTTTCCGTAAATTGAATGCTGCTCCATGAGAAAATGTCATAAACAGCTCGAAGACGTCTCATTTTCTTCAGAAATGTTTGCTCTATACGATGGGCTTATTTGCAAGGAATTTCTGGATTGAACTCTAGGACTTGGTTTTCTGAGATTTGAGTTTTCTAGAGACCCTGATTTCAGGAGTTTTGATGGAGCCTTTGTATACACCACCTGAAATCGGAAATTCTTCCAGCTATTCAAATCTTTTTTCAAATTTATTCTAGCTATTATGACCATGCAATAATTGCAACTAGACGTATTTATACGTCACCGGGAGCCAAAGGGTTAAATTACCATATGGGGTACCTAATGATAATGTTATTGCTGTTGTGTCATTAACAGTATCCTTTAGCACTGAACACAGTTGTGACATGGTTGAATTATTAAACGGTGAAAAGTAAAGGACTCTATGAGTTATGTATAACAATATATTGAATAAACGTGTTAAAGTTTTGTGATAATAAAGACGATATGAAACTGGAAAATAAAAGAATAATCACCGCAGAAAAAGCGGTATCATGATTCAAAATATCAGACATGACAAAAAATTTTTACATTTTTCTCATATTATCTGTTCTATAAACAAATGAATAACTGCACTTTACCGACTGAGGAATGTATTTAGATTGACAAGGTGGAATGACACTATGGACCTAATTTCAGGCATTTACCATGTACCACCAGAGGAAGAGTTTAAGAGGTTTCACATCTGAAACCGAAAGGTCTACGAAATTACCTTTCTGCGAAATTTAATTTCGTAGACACGAAATTTCCGCGATTCCATAATGTCTATAGATTAAGAACTGTATGAACTACAACGTGATAATAAGCTCTGCATTACAACGCTTTTTTTTGTAAAATAAAATTAGTCCGGGAACTTTTTAAATGCACTGCATATCTATCGGCGCTCTAGAATAAAATCAGTATTTATGTGCGTTTCTCTGCAACTGCAGAAAGAGTTAGGCAGTTCCTTCTAATACATGTTGATACTGATACGTTGTCAATAAATGGTAATTTCAACAGCTAATTCATCATAAAAGCTAGCAACCAGCGACGGTTGAAAATAAATATTACATTTGAAAGCTCGACAAGTAGTACAGTAGTGATAAAACGATTTATCAAATGAAATCGATCTTCTCCTCAAAAACTCTCACTTTAAGTTATGAGTATGATCTACGAAAATGGTTGATTATTTTTATCTCTTAGGAGTGTCATTAGTATTTATTTACTTTGTATTCTTTTTCTTTTATTTGATACATAGTTAACCATGGTGTTAGTATACCCAATGTGAATAACGAGATTAAAATTTTGGCTTTTTTAGAGAAAATTGTTATTGATGTATCCAATGTGTAATACCAAATATGATTTAAAACTTGATTAAAACAATCTGAATTAATAAAATATTTACATCTTGTAGCTATAGTAACCTATAAACAATGAAAAAAATCAATAGTGAGGCTAATTAGGATGGTTTTCGTCGTAAATGAGATATTCATGTATGAACCGATCCATTTTGAATAAACATCATTTAATTGGCCAATTGTCTCTGGTAGATTTATAAAATGTTTCTATATAAAATAAAAATGATAAATGATATTTTTAGATATTAATTCTTTTCATTTAAACGAAGCAAAATGGAATAGTCATATAGTTAGTATTTAGTGCTTTTGTATTTAGTTTGTAATTTATTTCGATTTTGATGTTTTCATTCTCGAAATTTAGAAAAAATATCTAGGAAATGTCCAAGCTTTGAAATTGGAAAAAAACTGAAGTTTAAGTTTTAAAAACGGAGGGAGACTGAAAATTGACGGAAACAACTTTTTCTACCTGAGTGATGGCTCCAAAAAACATTACTGTTTTCTAATCTGTAGCCATAGTTCCTTGTGTTCATCTCTTCTATCCCCGTTTGAAAATGATGGTGCCTTGCCGTAGCTAATCATTCATAACAAATAATTTTCATACCATATCATTTTCTTGGAAATGTTTTTGAAATAAATTCAAAATAAAATTTTGTGCATAATATCCTCTAAAATCCCAATTATTGTTATCAGTGACCTCAGACAATGGAGACACTTTATTCCAAAAATGATGATGACTATCATTTCGTGTTTTATCAATATTCATTGTAGTAGGTAATATATTTTCAACATTAACATCGCCACCATCTACCAATTGGCCAAAAAGCCTTTGTGATAATACTGTCAATATAATATTTAGTTCTTCTACCGATTTTTGTTGAAACTCAATGTAATCAAATAATTCAAAATTTAATTGTAGTAAATAAACAACAAATTTTGGTCGATCTTTCAACAACGATTGTTCAAATAATTTTGAATATAATTTTCGATCCTAAACAACCATAAAGAATAATTATCGGAAGCAATAGATAGCTTATAGTTCACAGTTGACATTCATTAAAAATCTCATGAGCATTGACTCTTGATGGATCTAAAGGCGAAGTTCTGAACATCTTTCGCATTCGGTACAGTTGAAAATCATCAGTTGAGAATCATCAGAAACGAACAGTTGTCTAGACTAAGGTAGTCTAATCAACTGAAAAACAAAACACTTTTAACTGGCTTCTCAACGAGATAATTTATTTGCCAAGAATAAACATTTTTTTAAATGCAAACGGCATAGAATATTGTATACGTGTACAGATAATAACCTAAACTTTCCAATTGAAAATGAAATGTGCTCGAGGAGAATATACTGGAAATGTTTGAACTGTAACGTTCACTTAAGTCTTAGTTTAAGTAGAAATTGTTTTACACAATATCCAGCTCAAAACAGAGCTGAACAGCTTCGACCCCTCCCGGCTCCAAAAGATGTTCATCTTTTCTTGTTTTTCTTTCGATTGAATTTTTTAGGCTTTCAACTGAGGAAAAATATGAAAATGAAAATCGTTTTGAACTACAAATATACTCTATAACTGCATGATATATACATAAAAATCTTCTTTCGAACGCGTTACATTTAATAGAAGAAGGTCAAAACCGAGACAGGATATGCTAACGTGTCATTAGCGCACACACTCAGATAACTATCTGCCGTAAGAGTACCATTTTTACCTCGATCGAACGCGCATATCATCATCCGCACACCGGCTCCGGTTCCGGCTTTGAACCCAACGCTTCTCATCCAGCTCCGGCTCCGTTTATAAACGGAGACGGTCCGGAGCTGGAGCTGCCCAGCTCTGGCTCAAAAATAACTGAATACTATATTGAGGTGAACATTTCTTTTGCACAAAATGCGTTCTTTCTTTGCAATTTTTTAAACCACTATAAAAATACGTATTGATCAGTACTTTGTATGATAACAGTAAAATAAATTGAATCATCCCTATGAAAGGTGTTCGTTTCGGCTCAGCAGAGAAACGCGTAAAAATCATGCCGTTAAGGCCGAATAGCTCTTCCAAGGGACTTTCTGTACCTCTGTATGGAAAAAAGCTAATTTTGTTAGCTATAGCATGCGCATACTGAGGATCCATGATCTCTACTTTTGTGATGTGCTTTCTGCCATTATCAAAAAAACGCCCTTCGGCTTTTAAGGGTTAATAGCAGAGAGAGAGTCAGAGTGAAGGAGCTACTCCGTGGGCATTCTGCACTAGAAAATCCCGCAAACGTGTTAAAGAAGACAGGGGCAACAGTTGGTAAACGTCCATGGCGGACAACTGTGTATCGGATGCGTATACCCAAAAAAACTCGGTCTGCAAAAATCTTTGCAGAATCTGTAAAGATTCTGCAATCTGCAGTTTTTCTGCAATGCAGATGTGCCAAGATTTGGCCAAAGATCTGATGCAGATCTGCAATAAAA